CATACACCACTATTCTTCATTCCATTCAATCAATATTTATTGAATATAGTTACAAATGATGTTACAAGTGATTAACTTCTTGGAGTCTTTTAAGTCAGGGACAAAAAAAAATGAAACAAAATATGTAACACATAAACACTTAATACAGTGATTTAATACCAAGAACAAAAATAAAGCAAGGAAGTAAAATGAAACAGGCATTCTATAATACAATCACATAAAGCACCTGAGAAAACAAGATGCACACCATGCAAACTTCTTCTGGAGAAGAATTATAGAGTTAGGGAACAATGGATACAAAGATGCAAATACAAGCGTGCGTGTCCTTAGGCTGCCCAAGCTTCAACCCTATTACTAATAAACATAAAAATTTGGGAAATTTTAAAACAACCTTAAATCATCACAATTTCCCTTGAAACTTTCTCTCTCACATTTTAAGAGTCTGCCTCATCTTTTATCCTGTGGCCTATATATCTAATCATTACAAAAGTCTGAAAGAGTAGTTCTGAAAATGTCCTCAGACCAACAAAATGTATTACTTGTGAGATTCGAAAGGCAAACTTCTTTTTAAAAAGTGCCTACACGATTCTTAATGCAAATTAAGTCCAAGGGCCACTCTGCTAAAATCATCTAAAACTCAGTAACCATTTATTTCAACAAAGGCCTTCATAAACATAACTCCAAATATAAGGCTCACCATGATATAAAATTTTGCCCAAAACACCATTGTATTTTCATTATCTACTTACCAAATACATCATGCCTTTAATATCAAACCTGAAAATCAATCAGAAGTCAACACAAAAGCTTACATTTGAGTCTGACTTTCACTTGAGTCTTCACAATTAATAACCAACCACCAGATGTTAGATATAAAAACTAGTAGGGATGGGGAAGGACACATCTTCAGTTAAGCATAGCACTGGTGGAAGTCTACCAAAGAGTAAGAGACCCTGCCTATGAAAGAGATTTGAAAAAGTACTTCCCTATCCGGCAATTTTTTAAGAGTTAAAATGCCAATGAAAGACTTTAGCAGCTAATGGAAAACAGAAAGCAAAAGGTGCTACAAGAGAGGGGAAATACCTTTCTTTTGACCTTTCTACCAGAAAAACGCCCCAAACACCCACCTACCTTTTCAGGAGTTCCTGAGAGAAGAGTTCTTTATTAAACTAGGCAAAGCAATGCTTTAGGATTAAGGGGGAAAAAAAAAAAAAAACAACTAACCAACCTGACGGGGAAATAAAAGGACTAAGAAAGGTTCCAGGAAGGAGTGAATACTTAAATCCTACTACACCAAATTAACTTCTTCCATACAGTGGGCTTCAGTAGTAACCATTCAGTAATAGAAGTCCTGGACAGTCATTCTCTTCTATCTACCAACAGAGCCCTGGAGTCCCACACAATAGTAAATATAGTCTGTCCACAGCCTGCACTGAAGCATCAGTTCTGTGAGAGCTGGCATCAGGGCTCATAGCACAGTTTAGTCACAGGTTTAATTTATCTACAACTGGCATGCTCAAATGACATCTTGTTGCAACATATGAATATTCTAGGACAGGTTACTAAAAACATCAGTAATTTTAAAATTCAAGCCAGGCATGGTGGAGAATGGCTATAATCCCTGCACTCAGCAGTCTGAGTCTAGCCTGAGCTACACAATGAGCTCAAGGCCAACTTGCACTATATGGTGAGATCCTATGTCAAAAACCCCAGAAGAATAAAAAAAATAAACTCAAAAACTTGATTTAGCAACGATAAATCACCTTCAGCAATTAGCATTTTTGTTGTTCAACTAGTATTTCTTCCCAATGACAAACAACTTGGTGGGGCCAGCGAGATGGCTCTATAGAATAAGCACTTCCCTGGCAAGCACAAGGTCCAGAGTTCAATCCCCAGTTCCACCAAAAGAAAAAAAAAAAAAATTTGT